TAGAAATAAATAGATATACTGTTTAAGAAAAAAAAACAAAAAAAAACAAAACAAAAAAACACAGAGCTTCCACTCAATTATGAGTATCCATAAAAATAACGTTTAAACAAATAAATTATATATATTATTAAATGAAAATCCATATATATATATATATATATATATATATATATATATACAGTGTAACGCGGATATAAGAGACCCGGATATAAGAGAGATTTTCTCTGGTCCCAAAGTGATCCCATACTTACCTAAACAAAATAGACCAAACCCGGATATAAGAGAAACCCCGATATAAGAGACCTCTTCTCCGGTCCCGACAACTCTCTTATATCCGGGTTACACTTTATATATATATATATATATATTCTATGAATATTTAAATGAGATCTCATTTAAATATACATGGAGACCTACTATGATTTACAAAGTTTCTGATACAAACGGGCATCACAGCACATATATACAATTCGCCTTTCTTTCAACCGGGCACCGATGGCCTAGGTGGAAATTCTCCGACTCTTGCCGAATCAGTCGAGTTTCAATGCCTCTTTCGATGTCTAGCCACACTGATGAAGCAGCGAAACAGTCTGTCAGTGGATGACAATATATATATATATATATTTGAAAATATTTTTAAAGGTACAAAATCAAATTAAAGAAATGAAAGTGTGTAATTTCATATTACATGACATTTTTTTTTTAAATCGAAGCAACCGGTTTCGCTCCCGCTCTTCAGGCCTCTATGGGAGATTTAACTTAGATTAAAACAACAGGAAAATGTGTAATGCATAGGAGAAAAAAATAAAAAAGAAAGATCACAAAGGGCTAGAGACAAATAACAGCGAGCCCCAGCAAACATTCACGCTGTTTGCAGGACCCGATATAAAGTTTTTCCAGCAACTTGAGATGAAATAACGAGTGTGTCCGGGACAAAACGGTGAACCAATCAGTACTAAAATTAGCTGCACCCCCTCTGTTATTTAAAACGTGCTCACATATGGCGGAACTATAAGTATTTGAGACAAGTTCATTCAAAGATAAGGTGTGATTCCTGATCTTGGTGGGAACATGTTTAATTCTCATGTCCAGGTGTTGAGACGTCCTCCCTATGTAGTCAGCAGCTCAACTACAATTATATTTATAAACAATAGAATTAACTTGATGGGGAGGGAGAACATCCTTACACCCAGAACGAAAGCTAGGCAGGGTTTGGAAAACTATACGGACCTCAGCCAAGAAAAAACAACGACGAACATTAGCTGAAATCTGCCTAATTATGCTTTCACACTTGGATCCAATCCACGGAAGTCTAAGATACACAGGGCACCTTTTAAATGTACAAAGTTTGGCCTTTCTGAACTCCACAATCTTGTTCCGGATGACTGAATACATACATATATATATATATATATATATTAAGAAATGGACAAAGTCTGACAATTTATTTATTAAAGACATTTTTATGTTTAACGTTCTTTTTATAGATACAAGTATTTAAGTAAATGTACGAGATTCATGGAAGATTGAAGTTTATAAGCAGTAAATTCGACCTTGCCAACCGAACGATCATTTGTGGCCGAGAGGTTAGGCACGTCAGCGTAAATGACTGTTCGAATCCTGTCAAAGGAGGAATATTTTCATTCAGGTCGGTAAATGTTATTTAATACTGTTTATTATAAACAGAGCATTTACTTAAATACTTGTATCTATAAAAAGAACGTTAAACATAAAAATGTCTTTAATATATATATATATATATATATATATATATATAGTTATGATTAAATAGCAGGACAGATTGGGTTCTATAGCCTTCGATGGCAACTGGTCACGGACAACTCTGAATTCAAAATCGGAGGAGGGTCGTTTGGGGACTTTGTGGCACGTAGTGCACCAGGTCTCTGTGTTCGGCCCTTCAAAAAGTGTGGTTGGCTCTGCACGAAGCCTTCACCACTATAATCAACTCATATGTGCAGGTGTCTGGGCTGTCGGTTTCCTAGGAACTGAGTAGCCTGGAACTCATTCGTCGTAGGGTGAGGTATCACGGCGAAATAGTGATGAGGATCCCTGCTAGGCACGGGTCAATGGCTCGCGTCGATCTACGACGGGGGAATCCACAATGCCGACGGCTTAGTGGTAGAATCTCCGACTGACACCAATTCAGTCGGGTTTCGATCCTAGCTAGAGGCAACCGGATGTCTAGCCACACTGATGAGCTGCGAAACAGTCTGTCTGTGGATGACGTTATATATATATCCTGAAAAATCAATTTCAGTTGAGCTCAGGGGAGGGGGTGTGGGTTTGTAAACAGTGACTATTATAGCTAATATAGCGAGACTCTTCGCATAAAGTGAATTGAGTCACTGTCGGTCACTGTGTGTGTTTCTAAAAATAAATACGCTAAAATTCAACTTCACACCTGCCGTGCTTAGTGGTAGAATCTCCGACTGACACCAATTCAGTCGGGTTTCGATCCTAGCTAGAGGCAACCGATGATGAGCTGCGAAACAGTCTGTCTGTGGATGACGTTATATATATATCCTGAAAATCAATTTCAGTTGAGCTCAGGGGGGGGGGTGTGGGTTTGTAAACAGTGAGCTAATATAGCGAGACTCTTCATAAAGTGAATTCGTGGTTTCTAAAAATAAATACGCTAAAAATTCAACTTCACACCTGCCTAGAGTAGAATCTCCGACTGACCAGTCGGGTTTGATGAGCTAGAGGCAACTGATGAACAGTCTGTCTGTGGATGACGTTATATATATATATATATATATATATATATAGAGAGAGAGAGAGAGAGATAGAGAGATAAGATAAAGAACAAATAGGAAATATTTAATAAATTTCACTTCTATTAAAACTTTACCAGAGAAGGAAGAACATTTGGTGTTTTTTTTATTTATGTGTTGTTTGATTTTCATTGGTTAATCAGGTTTAACACGCATTCGACTTGTTAAACTAACATTAGCATAATTTGTATCGTTCTTAATTCAGTTGTCTCCCCTTGAATAAACTTTTATTTGATTTTTATCTGTCAAATTCGATTTTGTATTTAACCTCAATTCACACACACACACATGCGCATGAATATATATATATATATATATATATATATATATATATATATATATATATGTGTGTGTGTGTGTGTGTGTGTGTGTGTGTGTTTGCAATCGTCAATAATGGGATGTCTATGTGCCGGTTGATTGTGACATGAAAATATAACTCCTCCACCTCCACCCTCTAAGCTTACTTATCTATTTAGCATAGATCTGACATTTAATTGGTTAATCTAGACATACCCAGAAGTTTATCTTTAATTCTAACCTTACGTTCCCGCCACTTTTAACGTTCGGAAAAGTGGTAACACTTTGTTTTTAAATTACCTTAAAAATCATTTAACCACCAGTTACTTACCATCGCCTGAAGAAGTACAGTCATGGTATTGAAACATGAAAGCATTTGTGTAGCGATTTCAACGGGTTTTTTTTATAATCTCTAGCATCGTGATTTCCAACCTGAAGAAAAGTTATTTTTTTAACGTTGAAACAAGATGTACAGTTTTGTAGTGGGTATGTACATGTTCTAATGTAACACTGCATAATAAATAAATATTTATTGCTCTGCATTTGTGTTGAGCTCTGTTTTAAATTAATGTTTTGAACGCTGAAATCTTTCTCTTCGTTCTTTTACATTTTTGTATGTATATATATATATATATATATATATATATATATATATAATTCATCGAGTCTAGAAGAAGCCTCAACAGAATGCAGAAAGCACTGAACGGGCGTTTCGTCCAGTATTTAAGACTCATCAGCAGTGTGGATCATCAGACCGACTTTTCATTGAAACCTGACGCTTATTGATAGGAGGCAAACACTCTCTCTCTCTTATAATTATACTATATGAATTATATAATTAGGATATTTTCAAATCCTCTATATATATATTTATATATGTATATGAACCGTATGTATGTCTGGACTGAGCGATAATTAAATCCCAGCTCATTGGGGGGACAGATTCCCTGTATAAACTGTATTTTCATTGGATACAAAATTTATGTGATCGACCCGTTTGGTTATAAAGTTAATTCGTTTTTCTTCGTGTACCGAGGCCCGTTGGTAGAGTTGGTATAAGAAAGATTGCACTCCTATCAAACCTGCGTTTAAGAGGTTTCAATAGATCCGACGTGGATAGAACAGCTCGGCGACTGATGTAGTTATATATATATATATATAAACGGCCGTGTGTGTGTTTGTGTGTGTGTGTGTTTCTTCTAAATTTGATGAATTGTTTTTTTGAATTATGATTATTCTCTTTCTTTCTTCTAATTATATATATATATATATATATATATATATATATATATATATATAGTATATATGCAATATATAGGTAATATGTATGGGTAGACCCAAGGAGGAAATTCAGGAGATAATTTTTTAAATTCAGATCAAATATGTTTGAATCTCTCTGTGTTTCCTTATTAAGGTTCCATCTTAATATATATATATATATATATATATATATATATATATATATATATATATATGTCTTTTTCATTTCAACATTATTTGAGAGAGAAATTATTTTTGAACATCTGGGGTCCCTCTTATAATTATATATATATATATATATATATATATATATATATATAAATAATCTTATATATAATATATATATTTGTATATAGTTTGTACGGATGTACTCAAACAGTAATTTAATGATTTAATTTAAATAAAACTAGGTTTTTCTTTTCCTTTTTGCAAATAATGACTTTTTTCATTTTAATAAAATGTATTTTTATTGCAATCTTTACAAAAAGGAGGCGTGATTCAGACCCGTTTGGTTAGTTAAAAATTAATTTCTTTTTCTGAGATACAAATGTTGTTGTTCTAGAGAACGTCTCTCTCTCTCTCTCTCTCTCTCTCTCAGGACTCAAACCTGCCTTCCCTCAACACCCCCTTCATTCACATTAGATCCGAATGACTTTAAAACAATCAACAGACGAACACGTCTCGTATATATAAATATATATATATATGACGATTATATGTGTGTGTGTGTTTGCGTGTGTGTGTGTGTGTGTGTGTGCGAAAGTTACCGAAGCCATGTCGGCAAACATTGAACACAACAAACTCTCAATCGACAGAAAAAAAAATTAAATAAATAAGTAAATAAATAAATAAATAAAAAAACGAAAAAGTAAAGCATTATGGATTTCAAAATATATATATATATATATCAAATATATATATATATATATATATATATATATATATAAAAAAAAAAAAATACACGATGCAGTGTTCCCTGTCTGCCCGCATCTATCTACTTAGATCTATCAACTTGTCTGTCTAGCTAACCATATCAGTCTGTTCGTTTCTATTTAAATAGCTATATCAGCGTGTCTACCTGAACCTATGAGACAGCCCGTTGATATATATATATCTATCTATCTATCTATCTTCCCATTCAGTCTGTGGAGAAACTTTATCAAGCTCTTTTTTATTTTTTGAACATCTGGGTCCATATAACAAAGATCTATCTATATATATATATATCTATCTATATATATATATATATATATATAAATGAAACTTGTCTAAAGTAATATTTTATTTCAGTACTCTGATACATATAACAAACGGTAATTTAAAGATTTAAATTTATCTATTCAGCAAAACTATCTTTTTTCTTTTCATTTTTTGCAAATTGTCATTTTAATAAAAATGTCTCAATTAATTTATATGCAATCTTTCATATAACAAAGATCTATCTATCTATCTATCTATCTATTAGTGAAAATGAACTATTCAGTCTGTAGATACAGAAATGTATCAAGTTTTTATTTCTCTCTCATATACGTCTATCTCTCTATCTATCTATCTATCTATCTATCTATTCAGTCTGTCTCTGAAACTTGTCTCAACCCCCTTTTCACATTTCTTATCTGAATGATCTATCTATCTATCTAAAAATAATCAACATCTATCTATCTATTCAGTATTACAAATGTCTAAGCCCTTTTTATTTCGTACTGACGATTAACTTCTGTTTTGCGACTATCTATTGTTGTACCGGGAAAGTTCTCAAGCCATTTTATTTCAAACATGCACATGATAACAACAAACTATCAATCTAATATCTAAAAAAAAATTAAATAAATCTAGTAAATAAATAAATAAATAAATAAATTTTTTTTGCCCGCATTTCAAAAACTCTGCACATATAACAAAAGATTATCTATTATCAAAAATCTATCTATCTATGGCTAATCAGTCTTCAGAAACTTGGCCCCGTGAAACAAAACTGCACATAAAAACAATCTATCTATCTATCTAAAAAAAAAAAGCCCCTTTTTATTTCTGTACTCTGCACATATAACAAAAGATCTATCTATCTATCTATCTATCTATCTATCTATCTATCTATCTATTCAGTCTACCACAGAAACTTGTCTCAAGCCCTTTTTATTTCTGTACTTGTCTGTATAACTAACCATATCTATCTGTTCGTTTCTATTTATCTATCTATATCATCGTATCTATCTATCTATTCAGTCTATGAGAGAAACTTGTCTCAAGCCCCTTTTTATTTCATATCTGCACATATAACAAAGATCTATCTATCTATCTATCTATCCTATTCAGTCTGTACCACAGAAACTTGTCTCAAGCCCCTTTTTATTTCTGTACTCTGCACATATAACAAAGATCTATCTATCTATCTATCTATCTATCTATCTATCTATCTATTCAGTCTGTACCACAGAAACTTGTATCAAGCCCCTTTTTATTTCTGTACTCTGCACATATAACAAAAGATCTATCTATCTATCTATCTATCTATCTATCTATTCAGTCTGTACCACAGAAACTTGTATCAAGCCCTTTTTATTTCTGTACTCTGCACATATAACAAAGATCTATCTATCTATCTATCTATCTATCTATCTATCTATCTATCTATCTATTCAGTCTGTACCACAGAAACTTGTCTCAAGCCCCTTTTTATTTCAGTACTCTGCACATATAACAAATCTATCTATCTATCTATCTATCTATCTATCTATCTATCTATCTATCTATCTATTCAGTCTGTACCACAGAAACTTGTCTCAAGCCCCTTTTTATTTCTGTACTCTGCACATATAACAAAGATCTATCTATCTATCTATCTATCTATCTATCTATCTATCTATCTATTCAGTCTGTACCACAGAAACTTGTCTCAAGCCCCTTTTTATTTCAGTACTCTGCACATATAACAAAGATCTATCTATCTATCTATCTATCTATCTATCTATCTATCTATCTATTCAGTCTGTACCACAGAAACTTGTCTCAAGCCCCTTTTTATTTCAGTACTCTGCACATATAACAAAGATCTATCTATCTATCTATCTATCTATTCAGTCTGTACCACAGAAACTTGTCTCAAGCCCCTTTTTATTTCTGTACTCTGCACATATAACAAAGATCTATCTATCTATCTATCTATCTATCTATCTATCTATCTATCTATCTATTCAGTCTGTACCACAGAAACTTGTCTCAAGCCCCTTTTTATTTCTGTACTCTGCACATATAACAAAGATCTATCTATCTATCTATCTATCTATCTATCTATCTATCTATCTATCTATCTATTCAGTCTGTACCACAGAAACTTGTATCAAGCCCCTTTTTATTTCTGTACTCTGCACATATAACAAAGATCTATCTATCTATCTATCTATCTATCTATCTATCTATTCAGTCTGTACCACAGAAACTTGTATCAAGCCCCTTTTTATTTCTGTACTCTGCACATATAACAAAGATCTATCTATCTATCTATCTATCTATCTATCTATCTATCTATCTATCTATCAGGATATATCTACGAGAGTGAACTGAAAAGTTCACAGGCTAACTGCGGAAGAATGAAGGAAAGTTTTGCATACATTTCATAACTTCTTCTGCATTATCTATCTATCTATCTATCTATCTATCTATCTATCTATCTATCTATCTATCTATCTGTCTATCTATCGAAGCCTGTCTTTATGCATTTAATCTTCTTACAATCACTCTCAAAATGTACTTTTAAATGTCGTTAGAGTTCTCCAGTCAGTCTGCATTCATTTGTCTTTTCCCATTCAGTGTGTACCTAAGTAACACGTCTCGTGACCCTTTCTATTTCTGTGATCTGCATACAAAACAAGGATTTATCTATCTATCTATCTATCTATCTATCTATCTATCTATCTATCTATCTATCTAAGCCTGTCTTTATCCATTTCATCCTACGCAGCGCTCTCAAAACATACTTTTAATTGTAGTTAGTGTTCTCAGTTCAGTTTTTTACCCAAGTAACTTTTCTCAAAACCCTTTCTGTGACTGCATACAGAACAAAGATCTATCTATCTATCTATCTATCTATCTATCTATCTATCTATCTATCTATTGAGAATTTTCTAGTCTATCTGTATCTGTTTTTTCATTCAGTTTGTATTTAATTAGCCTGCCATAAGCCTATTATTACTTTTGTGATCTACACAACTTATAATCCAGATTATAATGAATACAGTGAGCAGAAGAATTAGACCAAAAATTGAACAAGAACAATTCAAATTCCCTGAAGACACTGGAACAAAGAATACAATATTTATGCTGAGAATGACATGACAAAGAACAGCATAAATGCAAAATGATGTATACCTACATTTTATCGATTATGGAAAAGCTTTGGTTTATGTACATCACAAATAACGGTTGCAACTGCTAGGTAAGGATGACATATTTGAGGAGAATAATCAAGAATCTATACTGGGAGGAAATCGTTTGCATACGGATAGAAAATGAATTCAGTAAATATACAAAAAATAGAAACAGGTCTAAGACAAGGATGTGTCTTCTCACCGGACTTATTCAACCTATACACTGAGGCGATTCTGAAAGAGTTAGAAACGAAGAAAATGAAAAACAAAGATGTTTACACTTCGACGAAATGAAATACACTGAATTTCAAGCCTGTTTATAGTACTTCCTTACAGACGCGCTACCATCAGAAACTACACACACGCAGTTCTGGGAACGCCATCTTTTGGAAAATAGCGAGAACTTATTCAAAGTCCTTATATATATATATATATATATATATATATATATATATATATATATATATATAATGTCCGATGCGAGTAAAAATATATAGAAAGCATTTGAGAACGCAACTGGAATCTTTAAGAATATTTATTTAGAGTAATTTTACCAGTTTCACAGATATATCAATTTTAAAAATTAAGTTGAGATGGAGAGATGGTGAATATGTCATGATCTGTTACACACACACACACACACACACACACACACACACACACACACACACATATATATATATATATATATATATAAGCGATGAGAACAAAAGTAATATATAAATTCCAACGTTCACAGCATTAATCCAAAATAGGGCTCGATACCGATAGTAGTGTGATAAACATTTTCGATTCTCACCCGTCGAAGCGCATTTGAAATGCCCTGAAACCAAGTTGCATCATTGTAGTGGGTTAAATGGTTTTGTCTATATGATAAAATTATAATAAATAAATAATATATATATATATATATATATATATATATATATATATATATATATATATATGTCGGGGTTGTATGGATTTATATATATGCGCGTGGTTCCCATATATGTTTATATATGCGATACATAGATATATGTACGTGTAACATATCACAGGAGACTATGATTTAAAGACCAATGTGAATTGGGCACTCTAGCCGTGGATAGAATCCAGCTTAGGAGGAGACAATTTTGAATGCATAACCCTGGAGAAGGCAACGGAATATATCTTCAGTAACCTTGACAAGGAAATCTTTCACAATCATTTCCAGTTAACAAAGAACAAAAGAATCTGTGGAGGTCCACGACCGTCTACTTATTGGAATAAATTGGTATTAAATAAATTAAAACAAATGTA